TGGAGGCAGGTTGTTCCACTGGTTAATTGTTCTAACTGTCAGGAAGTTTCTCCTTAGTTCTAGGTTGCTTCTCTCCTTGATTAGTTTCCATCCATTGCTTCTTGTCCTGCCTTCAGGCGCTTTGGAAAATAGCTTGACTCCCTCTTCTTTGTGGCAGCCCCTGAGATATTGGAACACTGCTATCATGTCCCCCCTCGTCTTTCTCTTCATTAAACTAGACATACTCAATTCCAGCAACCGTTCCTTGTATGTTTTATCCTCCAGTCCCCTAACCATCTTTGTTGCTCTTCTCTGTACTCTTTCTAGAGTCTCAACAACTTTTTTACATCGTGGTGACCAATACTGGATGCAGTATTCCAAGTGTGGCCTTACCAAGGCATTGAAAAGTGGTATTAATACTTCACGTGATCTTGATTCTATCCCTCTGTTAATGCAGCCTAGCACTGTGTTGGCTTTTTTGGCAGCTGCAGCACACTGCTGGCTCATATTTAAGTGATTGTCCACTAGGACTCCGAGATCCCTCTCACAGTTACTACTATTGAGCAAGGTACCCCCTATACTATACATGTACATTTGGTTTTTCTTGCATAAATGTAGAACCTTACTTTTTTCACCATTGAATTTCATTTTGTTAGATAGCGCCCAGTGTTCAAGTCTGTCCAGATCCTCCCGTATCCTAAGCCTGTCTTCTGGAGTGTTGGCTATTCCTGCCAGCTTGGTGTCGTCTGCAAATTTGATGAGTTCCCCATCTATCCCCTCGTCCAAATTGTTGATGAAGATGTTGAAGAGCCCTGGGCCCAGAACAGAGCCCTGGGGCACCCCAGTACACACTTCCCTCCATGTAGATGCGGTTCCATTGAGGACGACACACCGAGTACGGCCGGTCAGCCAGCTACGGATCCATCTGGTGGTGGTGCTGTCTACCCCACATTTTTCTATCTTGTCAAGTAGTAGGTTGTGATCTACTTTATCAAATGCCTTATTGAAGTCCAAGTAAATTATGTCCACAGCATTCCTCTGATCCACTAATTTTGTCACTTGGTCAAAGAATGCAATAAGATTTATCTGGCATGATCTATTTTTGACAAACCCATGTTGGCTTTTAGTAATGACTTTGTTTGCCTCTAGGTATTCACTGATTCGTTGTTTGATTATCTTTTCCAGGATCTTCCCAGGTATTGAGGTCAGGCTGATAGGTCCATTTTTCCCCCTTTTTTGTAGATGGCTCTTTTCCAGTCCTCTGGTAGTTCCCCTGTGCTCCAGGATCTTTGAAAAATATAGTTCAGTGGTTCTGAGATCACATCTGCCAGTTCCTTGAGAACCTTGGGGTGTAATCCATCTGGTCCTGGCGATTTGAACTCGTCTAGGCTGGACAGGTGCTCACTTACCATTTTCTTGCCTATCTTAACTTATGTTTCTATTCTGTTTTTTATGGCACTATTTTTGGTAGGTTGATCTGTTTTTTCCCTTTGTGTAAAGACAGATGTAAAAAATGAGTTAAATAGTTCTGTTTCTCCCTGTTGCTTGTCACCTTCTTGCCACTTTCACCCACTAATGGACCAATCATTTTCTTCACTTTTTTCTTGTTTTTTACATGTTGAAAGAAGCTTTTTTTGTTATTTTTGACTTTGGTTGCAAGCCTTAGTTCATTCTGAGCCTTAGCTTTACTCACTTCATCTTTGCAGGCTCGGGCTATTTGCTGATATTCTGACTTAGTTATGTGTCCCTCTTTCCACTTTCTATACTTGTCCTTTTTATCTTTCAATTTATCAGAGAGTTCTTTATGCAGCCATGCTGGTTTCTTTTGAGAGCTGTTATTTTTTCTCTTTGTTGGTATTGTGCTAGACTGGGCTTTTATTATCTCATTTTTCAAAATTTCTCAAGCTTCTTGAGTTGTTTTCCCCTGGAGGATTCTCATCCATGGAATCCTTCCCAAGGTAGTTTATTGAAATTAGTTCTCTTGAAGTCCAAGACTCTAGTTTGACTGTGTTCTATTGCTTGTGCTTCCATAATGTTGAATTCCAATATTGCATGATCACTTCCTCCCAAGGTTCCTATGGCTTCAACACCTTCTATCATTTCATCTCTGTTAGTGAGAATTAGATCCAAAATGGCTATTCCCCTAGTTCCCTTCTCTACTTTTTGGGAGACAAAGCTGTCTGCTAGGTTTGTCAGGAATCTGTTTGATCTTCCACTTGGTGCAGAGTTTGTCTCCCAGTTGATGTCAAGGTAGTTAAAGTCCCCCATTACTATGGTGTTGTGCTTCCTACATACCTTAGTTAGATGACTAGCAAAAAGTTCATCTATTTCCTCTGCTTGGTTGAGTGGCCTATAGTATACACCTATGGCAATGTCATTCCCTCCCCCCTTTATATTGACATGTATATCCTTTACCTCCAAATACTAATTCATGTGGAGGCATAAACAGCAGGACACATATTCACATAAAAATGGGAATGTTTCAAACCATAACTTTAAAGAATTCCCTAAAAATAAGGATCTAAACTTTTAAAGAAGCGGGAGGCTAGTTTTGGCTCAATAATACTACATATCCCCTTTCCTTCCAGATCCTGAACAGAACAGTAATCCTTGTCCCTCCAGCTATCCTTTCACAATTCAAAACTAAGCTCCCTTGCTGCTTGCCAACCAGCTCCTAGGTATTCCCTTGCAGAGCAGCAAAATCTCCCTGGTAAACAGCCACCCATTTTTAAGTGGGTTCCTAGAAAGACACGTGGGGCAGCACAATAGCTTTCAACAAGCCCTTCTAAATAGCTGTTTGCTGAGCTGCAGGTCTAAGTACAGCAACCTCTGCTTTGAAGCATTGTAGCTAAGAGTCTGCCCAGACAAACCAGAATTATATATGGCTCTATTGTTCATTGAATCCATTGAAGCAGACAGAATATTGTTTGCACACAACATATGTGTCCACTACGCTCTTCTGTTTACTTAGCATGCCTATTCTTGCCTTTTTATCTACAATACAGCCTCTGGTACACTGCATACATTCAGCTGTGTAAACGCATGGGATGGTTAATTTTCCATTCCTCTCTCAGCACTTCCCCCAAACAAATCTCCAAGGTAATGAATTGCTGTTCCCTTATTAGTAAGAAGCAACATTTGTTTCAAAGGGAAAATGCTCTTTAGCTTGGTAACAGGAGTTTTGAAATGTCAACCTTAATGTTGCTGCTTATTGAACTTTCTCCTGCTCCAAAAGGGTAATGAATGTGAGAAATAAATCAAGACAATTTTGGGCAGTCCTAGGACAAAAGTGACAGCCTGAAGGAGAATGAAGATCTACAACTTGCTTGCTTCTAACATGCTTCAGAATGCTGTGCGCACGCGCGTGCACGCGCGCACACACACACACATCAAAGGAATTCCGATTCAACTAAATTTCTATTCATTCCAAATCAAGTATCGTTTTAAAAAGACCTGAAAACCCTATTTGGGCAATAGCAAAGAGACTGTATTAGAGACAAAATGTTGAGACTATGTGTCATTCTAAGGCGGGGTGTCAAACTCGATTTCATTGAGGGCCGCATTAGCATTGTGGTTGCCCTTGGGTGGCCAGGTGAGCATGGTTGGATGGGCATGGCTGGCTCAACATCACTTGTGGAGGGAGTGGGACCAGAATGGGTGCCGGGGCCTAGTCTACTGGAGGAGCCTTGCCGTCCCTCTCAGGCCATATGGGGGGTCCTAGGACATGAGCACGGGTTGCCTGGGGCCCTGGGTGGCGAGCGCATGTAGGGCAGCTCCAGGGCTGGGCTCGGGTAGAGCAGGGAGGGGAGTCCAAGCTGCCTCTTGGGGACAGGGGGCTCCCTGCCCTTCCTGTTT